TGGTGGCTCCTACCCTGGGGGTCTTTAAGAAGCGGCTCGATGCCTACCTGGCTGGGGTCACTTGAGCCCAGTTTCCCTTCTGCCCAGGCAGGGGGACGGACTTGAAGATCTACAAGGTCCCTTCCGACCCTACTTCTATGATTCTATGATTTGGCTCAAACCAGTTTATGCACTTCATAGATTCATAGATATTAGGGTTGGAAGGGACCTCAGCACATCATTGAGTCTGACCCCCTGCCCCAGGCAGGAAAGAGCACCTTAGCCAAGGCTCCCAGGCCCCTGTTTCCATGGCAGCTTGCCAGAGGGATGGGCACAGGTGCTTGTCCAGTCTCCTCTTAATGACCCCCAAGGTAGTGAAGAGCACCACCTCTCTTGGAAGCCCATTCCAGATTCTGGCAACCCTTACCGTAAAGAAGTTCTTCCTGATGTCTAACCTGAATCTGTCAGTTTGTGCCCATTATTTCTAGTTACTCCAAGGGGTGCCCTGGTAAACAGAGTATCTCCTATCCCTGGCTGTCCCCCACAATGAATTTGTAGACAGCCACAAGATCCCCACTCAGCCTTCTCTTGTGGAGGCTGAAGAGATTCAGGTCCCTCAATCTCTCCTCATAGGGCCTTACCTGCAGGCCCCTAAACATATGAATGGCCCTCCTCTGGACCCTCTCAAGGTTGTCCACATCCTTCTTGAAGTGCAGCACCCAAAACTGGACACAGTACTCCAGCTGCAGCCTCACCAGTGCCACATAAAGGGGAAGTATCACTTCCCTGGACCTGTTTGTGATGCACCTGCTAATGCACAATAAAGTGTGGTTATCGTGCATCTGGGACAGTGTCTGTCCCAGACCCCTTCCTAGTTTAAGTTAAACCAGAGTCCCCCAGCATCCCAGCTGTTTTGCAGCCATGGGCTGGGCTGTGCTGTCTGCTTCAGAGAGCAGGGCTGGCTGCATCCCTCTGCTCCCTACCCAGAGCTCCGGGGAGACTGCAGGCACAGCAGGGTCTGCCTGGCTTCCCTCACTGCTTGCTGCTCAAGCTGGGATTCCCCCATTCATTCCTCCCTCCCATCTCCCACAGCACAGACCCCACCCCCATGGATCCTCCCCATGTGGTATGCTAACTAATGCTGAGAGGTGTCTGTGTGTGTGTGCATCTAATTTCACTGGGACAGGCAAACAGAACAGTGTCTGCTTAGTGCTTTTTGGAGCTAATCAACAGGTCAGCTGGTAATGTCCCTGTGTTCCTTCCTTGAAAAAATCTGTTTAAGAAGAGTTTGAGCTAATGAGAGAGGCTTTTATTTTGTTGATGGGCTGATAAACAGTGTGTTATCAGCCTCCTGCTGGTTTGCTGCCCTGTCAAGTTTCCAGACAGTATGAAGAAGCAGGGAGAGTGCGATTGAGAAGCGCAGCATCATCAACACACGCATACACTACACACCCCACCCCCTTTTGCCTCAGAGTGCTAGCTAGGAGTTGGGGTCTAGCAACACTCCCGCCACTTGAGCAGTGAGTGGGGAAAAGCCTGGGACAGTGCAAGCCGCGGTGGGGTTATACACCCCTCCCTAATCAGAGTATCCTGCCGGGGCCTGGCCATGCCCCCCCCAGTGCACCACAGTGGAAGGGAAGGGAGGGCTGCTTTAGCACCCCATGGCTTCTAGCCTGAGCCACTACAGGCATGTGCCAGCATTTCTTGAGTCCAGAGGGAATGTCTGTACTGTTGAAAACTGGTTCAACCTAGGAAGGTTAGACTAACCTGCAAAGATTGAATCAATTTAGGCTCAGGCTTTTTGAATGTGTGTCCCTAGCTTGTGAGTCTTGTGCAAATTTTACTTTCTCTTTTCCCTGGTAGAAACTGTTCTTACCATATTTCTTGCATGTAATACACACGGTAATTTTCAGCCCAGCAGCTGCTTGTGGGGGTGGGGAGAACTGGTGTACGTGAGAAAACATGTTATTTCATGTGGGCCACCACCACTCAGTCATCATGAAAATGAGTACTTTGTTTCCACAGATCTCATGTGGGTCTTAAATGGTGAAAGATTCTTTTACTTTACTGGACCATGTATTCAGTCTTCTGATAATGATATTCCCATATTTCATTATGTTGTGTGTTACAAGTCTCTGTTAGCTGTCATAAAATAAATGAGAGATGTAGTTCATTTCAAAATGAATGATCCAGACCAAACTGGAAAAGGATAAGCCTAGCTTTAATTATGTACCTGGAGGAAATATCTGTTTTACCAGAAAGCTTCTGTCCCTTTGTTCTTGTAGACAATGAATTTTTCTTCATCGATCCTGACATAAAACTAAGTAAAGTGGCTCCTGAAGGTTGGAAAGATGAACCCAAGAAAAAGAGCAAAACTCCTGTCAACTTTACTTTGTTCTTCCGTGTTAAGTTTTTTGTGGATGATGTCAGTCTTATACAGTGAGTACATGGCCATTTATTTTTCTCTTCAGCCTCTTAATTAGGTCCACTCTCTACCTTGTAAGTTTCATTCTCAATTTCCCTGTGCACATTATTAGATGTAATTTGATTGTATAGAAAAGCTTGCTGAAAGGATCAATATTGTGTGGTGTTTCTTACTAGGCACACTTTGACATGTCACCAGTATTATCTACAGCTAAGGAAAGATCTTCTGGAAGAGAAGATGCACTGTGATGATGAAACGGCCTTATTGCTGGCATCCTTGGCCCTACAGGCAGAGTATGGAGATTACCAGGCTGAGGTAGGATATGCCTTTTTCTATAGATGATAGCTGTTCAATTTCTGCAGTGTACTCTATGGTATGAATCAGTACTTTATTGCAGTCGGTCAGATTATTGATCTGATGTTGCAGCGATTGTAATGCTCTTTGAAGTCTAATAGAGAGAGAAGAGATGTGTCCTCATACAGAGTTTTAAACTTCAGATCTGGATCAGTGTGTTGAACTGATCCTCCCTTCTATATTTTATTCTAATGTGCTAATTTGGGCATTCAATGGAAGTTGAATCAAACCCTATAAATCCCATTGGTATCAGTGTGAGTAAAATCAAGCCCATAGTAAAAGACCAAATGGGAAACTTATTTCTGAATCTAGGTTCAGAATCTTGGTTTAAAGTCTATCTTTAAACTTGTATTTTGTGAGTTTTGCTTTTATACTAACATGAAAAACATCTCACAAAAGTGCTTTGCTTTATAGGTACATGGCATGTCCTATTTTCGACTAGAACATTATTTACCAGCTAGAGTGATAGAGAAGCTAGATCTGTCCTACATCAGAGAAGAACTATCCAAGCTGCACAGCACTTACGTGGGAGCACCTGAAAAAGAAACAGAGTTAGAATTTTTGAAGGTTAGTTATGATGCCTCTCAGTTGGCCTCTTTCTTCACATGAGAATCACTATCGGAGACTATGAGTAATGAAAACAAATGGACTTGGAGTGGAAAACAAAGGGAATACATAAACTTCCAACATAGCTTTAGGAGACAAAAAAGTAAAGAAGAACTACTTAAAAAGTAAATTGCTTACACTGAGGAAAGGAAACTATTAAATTGATAGAAAAAGCCTTTAATTTTCTTCCTTCAGTTGTTTCACTGGCATAACTGGGTATATAACTAAAATATCATCACAAATTAAAACAAATTTTGATCCTTATAATATTATAACCAAAACTCTGGGTTTGTTTTTTCTCTCCTGTTCTAAAATTCTACTTTGAACAATAAAGGAATCCCAGTTTGTGATACCACAAAAAATCAGACCTGATTTTGGACCTAATGTCTTTTGAAACAGCTTCAGTAAAGAAGAGAATACTGAAAACATTTGAAAACTGCTTAACTCCATTGTTTTTTTTCCTTTTTTATTGCAGATAACCTTTAAGGTGCTATGTCAATAATATGCCGATTAGGCTGTGTTTCCTGATAAAAGAGAGAATTTAACCACCTACATATTCTGATATATTTCCAAAATGTTTTCCTTTCTAAATTAACTATACAGATTGCTAGTATAGGGGCCCAATTTTCAGTTACTAAAATGGATAGGAATTTTGTCCTTAACTTCAATGGGAACAGTATTGTTGCCGTCATGCAGATGCACTGAATAGTAAACAGTCTTAGAAAGTATTAATAAACCATTGGAATGATTATACCAATACATGGTTAAACAAGTGACCATGGACAAGACAAATATGCAGCATTGGAAAGTGTCACAAGGAACTGCAAATAGAAAACACAACAGCAAAATGTATTCTGTGTTTGGATTTTGAAAAAGGACTCTGGTAAGAGCCCTCAAGTCAGTTTTGGCCTATTGTAGGAAGCTGTCTGATCCTAGGAAGGATTAACCAAAAAAAAAGGTAATAGAAATTTCCAAGATGTTCACATTGCACTCACTCAGAGCACACAAGAGAAGATTCTCAACCTTAATCTATTTACAGATCTTCAGAGGTTTGCCTCGTTTTCTCATTAATACATACATTATTTAAACCATGTAAGACCCTTTCAGGTATTACAACCTCAAGCAGGCTGACAAAGTTTGATACTACTTCACTCTGAGTAGGTCAAAGTGGTAGTAACAAGTAAAAAATAAATATGGTTTAAGATGTGACCCATAACAATTTTTTTAATGTTAATTTTAAATAGTTTATAATGGATTAATAGATTTAGAGGGTTTTTTAGTAAGCAGTTGACTGTT